TCGTCCTTTTTTTGCTATTTCTTGGCCGTTTTTGATCGGAAAAAGTTGCTATTGAACATGATGGTAGACCAAACATTTTTCTACACGCTCATGTAAAAATCTTTTCAAAAACTCCGGCCAATTTTGAGCCAGATCCAAAATGCGAAGAGCTCTATCAAGGTGCCTCTAATCACCCCGTACGGAGTAATTAGAAGCACTTCACTTATACGCTTGGGGTAAATAGAGGCACTCCATTCAAATACATGGAGTTTTAATATACAATTGCTGGTTAATTAAGCTTAGGAGATAATTAGTTCAAAAATACCTCATTTTGTAGCCCAGATCTTCCTCTCTCTACCATATAGTTTTGAGCTCATTATCATTTAAACTCATTAAGCTGATTAGCATATAATCAACAACACTAGAATTTTTTTTCTTTTTCTTTTTATGCTGTGGGGTAAATAGAGACACTCGTGTAATTTCTTCGGGGTAAATAGAGGCACGCCAACAGTCACGGACTGTTGGATATGCTTTATGTGGGCGTTGGTTTAGTTTTTTTCTGTTCATTTTCCATGTTTTACCCATGGGGACTTCTGTTTTTTTCGTAATTTGGTCCAATCAGAGTTTGATTTTTGTTGAAGTTGGTGATTGTGTGTGTTTGACGGACAGTTTGGTGGGTGTGTTGCTGTGTATCGGGTTTCGTTGTCAGTGTATATCGTTGGCAGTAGTGTTGTGATGCAAGCGGTTGTTTTGGTGCGACACCTGACGGTACGCGTTTGTGTCGTGTTTCGTAGTTGTATGTTCCGTACTTGCGTGCTTAGTAGTTTTGTGTGATTGTGCTTTCTAAAGTGTCGTTAGCTATGTACTGCTGCTGGGGTGAAGATTCGTGTATAGTGTACGAAGGTTTTGGTGTTGTTGTGCCACTCATGCTTTGCCTCGTTTGTTTTTGGTATTAGTTTTGTTTTTCGGCGGACTGTATCGTGTGTTTTCGGAATGAAGCAAGAACTGCCGAAAGGGCTGGCAATGACTTGTTCGTTGTTGTTGATTAGAATGTTTGGTGTTCACGCGTATCTCGCCGTCTGCTAGGTGGCCCGGCTAAGAAGTAATACGAATATTTTCCTCATTTTGGACTATTTTCAAACGATTAAAAGTTTTTCGCAGTGACTTCTATACGTATCAAAATCAGTTTTAAGTAGATAACTGGAGTAGTTTTATTCAATCATACCGAAGACAAAATTCATTTTCTGTAAGATGCGAATTTCGCGCACCGTACATGTCGGGTTCGTTAGCACCAGGATCTTTCAGTCAAGGGTTAGTGAATCGAAGATGAGCGTTACTTGTTATTATTAATATTATATTTTATGGGCTAAATTAATTTTAAAATTAATTATGACACCTACAGACAAAAACTTTTGATAAAATCTTCTGTCTATAGCGTGCATAAGCATCTCCTCTATCAAATACAAAAACAATCATCTGCAAATTATGAGAACTACGCAAGATAACACCAAATTATCCGACATATGTCTCCTCTGAATGAAACATACAATACGAAATCAACAGAAAATTGCCATCAGATCACAAAGCAATGATACTGCATCTATTTTTCATATACAACAGTAGTTGAAACACGTTTAGTGATAGGAACAAAAAACCAACTCTGTATTGTGTGTACTAATTAATCAAAAAGGATTGGTCGTTGGCATAACGTCTAATTGTGCAGAATGTGCAGACGAATGGACGTTGGTTACCAGAACAATATAGACAGGCTTCATTAGAGCAAGTTGTGCATGCAATATCATTGCTTTGTGATCTGATGGCATTTTTCTGTTGATTTCGTATTGTATGTTTCATTCAGAGGAGACATATGTCGGATAATTTGGTGTTATCTTGCGTAGTTCTCATAATTTTAAGCCAGTTAGTAAAAAGAGTTTATCAGGATTTTAATGACATCGAACAGAATTTGTTATACTATGTGGAGAGAAATCTCTTCTAGAAACTTTTGTGTCACAATGCCATCTTTCGTTAGGAAACATGTTGCTCGACGAAAATCAATCTAAAGAATATTTATTTATGTTATTTATTATTTGATAAGCAATAATGTGCGACTGTAGAGGTACTTGTGCTTTTTGTACATACATGTACTACGAAAAAAATTCAGCTGGAAATTCGTTTTCAGTATTGAGTTATAAAAAAAACAGTCACAGCAAACAATGACGCAGCATAATCCTCTTATACTTTTTCATACAATCATTAGTACTATTGATCACCAAAATATGAGCTCAAAAGCTTTCTACTACTTTGCGAGGTAAACCAATATTAAACCATTATCCGGACAATGAAGTATTAAAAAAAAATAATCAAACATGTCATTTTACTTCAAAATGGTATCAAGAATTTCCATTGATTGAATATAGTCCGACCAAGGATTCAATTTATTGCTTTTGTTGTCGATTATTTGGTGACGATCCAGGTAGTGCTCAATCGGAAAATGCATGGACAACATTAGGTGTTAATACATGGAATAAAATCAAAGGTAGGTAAATAAAAATCTTTCAAACTTTATCGATTTTGTTTATATTGCATTTTTGTTACTTCTAGGTAGTCGAGGTTTTAACAAAAACGGGAAACTAGAAGCACATAATGAAAGTGAAGCACATATATCATCATTACAACGTTATCTGAAATTTAAAGAACGTAAAAATAATACTGATTTTATGCCGGATAAAACTCTACAACAGCAAGAGCAACAAAAAGTTCAAATGGCAAAATCTAACCTAGAAGCAGTTAAAATATTCATTGACTGTGTGAAATATTTATCAACAACTTTTCGTAGGCATGTCAAAGAAGAGGGAAACTTTTACCAGTTTGTACAATTATTATCAAAGCACAATCCAGTATTAAAACAATGGCTAAACGATGTTCATAATTGTCCATATACAGTAAATATCGTTCAACAGTTAGTTATTAAATTCAACATATAATGTTTTTTACCTTTCAACTTACTGTTTAGGTTACTTATATGAGTACAGATTCACAAAACGAATTTATTCAATTATTAGGTGATAGTGTTCAAGAAACAAGTTTAGCTGATATTCGGGCATCACCATATTATCCGATTCAACACCCGATTCTAATCGTCAAGATATGTTAACCATATTTGTTCGGTTTGCCGATGACAATTTAGAACCGCAAGAACGTTTTGTATCGATTAAAGAACTACGTTTGAAAACCGGTAATAGTTATACGACTACTGGCTACGTCATTCCATTGACTTTAATTTTATTTTAATTGTTAGGTGATGGTATTGCAAATCATATTTTAGAAGTATTAAATGAACTTCAATTAGATCCTGATCGGTTAGTTGCACAATCCTATATTATGCAAATAATATGAGTGGCCAACTCAATGGTGTACAAGCAAAGATTAGTGATAAATTACAACGCAAAATTAAATACATTCCATGTTCAGGACATCGATCGAATACAGTTGTTAAACATGCATGTGAAGCAAGTTTAGATATTAATTGTTTAGTTGGAACATTACAGAATATATACAATTTTTTTACATCGAGTACAAGGGTAAAAAAAGGTAAGAATTGTATGGCGCACTTAAATGTTTATCTGTTTTTTTCCTTATTCAGATTAGCCATTTTAAATGACAAGTATTCTTCAAATTTATTTACGTTAATCCCAAAGACAACATCAACAATAAGATGGGGTGGGAAATATCAAGCATTAAAAGCTGTTTATGAATCTTTCCGTGAAATTGTAGAAGCATTAGATGAAATAACTGACGATAGTGAAGTTTTAATAATAGTTTAAATAATTTAATTACAATGAGTGAAAATATATCGAAAAGCTATGACATTGATCCTGATAAGGAATTCAATTATAAACACCGTCAACGAAGACCACCAAAAAGAATTGACGAAAATCCACAAACAGCTCATAAATTTACAAGGTATGTATAATTTAATCACTAAGTATTTTGTCTTCGAAGTATGTCGTACTGACTGGTCGCGCTGCCATTGATCGTCAAATTGACTTCATCTTATATGAAAAACATTTCTGTTTTCTCTTTTCAACTGTGACTTTATCTATATTTCCCTTTGTTCATTGGTTTCTAGATTACAGTATTATACAAACAGTTTTAGACAAGTATTGGATCGATTAATTTTAGAATATAAAGAAGTGTTATCATCGATTGATAGTAATTTAGAATCATTATCAAAATTAGCACCAGAATATATTACAAATTTATCCCAACAAGATGTTGTTAATATTTGTCCAATGACTAAAATTGACGATAGTAATTTATTGTATGAATAAATTCAATTATTTAAAACAAAATAGCTGAAGAATGCGTTACAATTACAGATGCATCATTATTTATCAGTAAACGGAAATTAACAATCCCTAGGTTATATCAAGCATATAGATATTTATTATCAATTCCAGTCACAGTAGCAAGCAACGAGCAAAGTTTCTCCAAGATGAAAATAATAAAAAACAGATTACGAACAACTATGAGTGATGCAAGATTACAAGCGTTATTATCGTGTTCAATAGGAACAGTATTTGTAGATGCTATGAATACTCAAGAATTAGTAGAACGATGGTCCAGAAATAAATCTGATCATAGAATGTAGTATGTTGTTTTGTGAAGGATATGAAGGAACAGTGAAAAAATGCTGTTTTCTTCCTGCGTCTGCAAAGTGTGGAGGTAACGGATTATCCAACTGTAAATCCGAAATGAAAAAATGTCAAATTTTGTATTATTTCTTTTACTTTATCAAACTTGCCAGAACATCTTTTTGAACTTACTCCGGTTCTTGAAACTACCACCCCCTGATTTTTGCGTTATTTTTCCATATTTCTATAATATCCTGTTGAATTGGCCTGACAACGTGGTCCAACGCTCTCACGCTTGCTCCAAGTAGATCTCGGCATGGTCTATTCTTTTTGCATGTTTCTATAGCTTGATTACGTTATTTTTGACAGTTTTCTTCGGTTTACTGTATTTCAGTAAAACAGCCGAGATTTTTTATTTTTATATGCTTGGATACATCATTGATTACTCTGTCGAACTCAACAGTTTTAATTTGATTTATCTCTCATCTTGCCTCCAAAAAATTAGTAAGTTTCGAAAGCTAAGTTTCGACAGTCAATAAAAACTTTTTTTCTTAGTAGTGTATGGATTTTTATTAAATACATTTGTGACCCACCGGAGAAATGACTCGTTTTTCTTTTTTAAATAGCTGGATACAACATTCATTTCTCTATCGAACTGTATATTTTTCATTGAATTTATTTCTTATCTAACTCAAAATTTAGTGAATTTCTAAAAATTATTTTCGTAGAATTTTCAGTATTTTTTTCTCGAGTAAATTTGAATTAGCCAAATTAGTCGGCTAAACATTCGAATTTTTTTCATTAATATATGGTTGGATAGAACCTTCATTTCTCTATTGATTTATGCAATTTTTGTCTGATTTAGCTGAGGTCCTATAGGTAGATTTTAGATTATGCAAATAGCAGTGGAAGTCTGTTTTTTTTTCATTAGTGCAAAACTGCCTAAAGTTTCCGCAATAAAATTAAATTTTCGTCTGAAATTCAAAACTATTTTATTTAATACTTTTTGCAACTTCAGCTTCGATGAATCTCTTCACCTTAAAACCCTTTTCGAGACAATTGGATTTAGTCTTATTAAGATATGAGTATGCAAAAGCTTTTTTACCGGTTGTCGAAATTAATTAATTCCTTCGAAACAAGATACGAAATAGAACAAGTTAAAACTATTGAGTTCGATAGAGTAATCAATGATGTATCCAAGCATATAAAAATAAAAAATCTCGGCTGTTTTACTGAAATACAGTAAACCGAAGAAAACTGTCAAAAATAACGTAATCAAGCTGTATAATATCCTGTTGGACTCGCCTCAGAATTTGGTCCTCCGCACGCTTGGGCCACGTAGATCTCAGCTTGCTGAATATCGCTTTCGGTTTCCGTATTTGTTAAAGGCTAACGGAGAAAATCAGAAAATAACGGTTTTTTACCATATGATTTTTGCATTATATTTGCATATTTCTAGAATATCCTGTTGGATTCGCCTAAGCACTTGGTCCAACGGTCTCACGCAAGTCGAAGTAGATGTCGACATGATCTCTTGCATGGCTCTTTTCGTGTCTCTATATCACAAAGGCTAATGGAGAAAATAACGGCGCTTTACAATATGAGATTTGGATTCTTTTTGCATATTTCTATACGATGCTCTCAAGCTTGGTGCAAGTAGATCTCGGCATGGTCTATCCACTGGGGTTGTTATGACAGCTACACTATCACTCATTCTTGTCATGAAAGAATCTTGACTCAAAAAGAGTTGAGTCAAAGTTGTTATGGTAGCAACGCCGCCGTTCTCTCTTTTTTTTCTCATGAAAGAATGTTGACTCAAAATAGTTGAGTCAAGCTTCTTTGGTCTCTAGTGATACTATATATATATAGGAGATTGTTTAGTGAAGAGAGAGAGATTTTCAGATCAAGATCAAGATTTTCTGTTTATTATGCTTATTTCTATAATATCCTGTTGGATTCACTTGAGACCTTGGTCCGACCATCTTACTCTTGGTCCACATAGATCTCCGTGTGGTCTATCGAATGGCGGCTTCCGTTTCTCTGTATCTCAAAGGCCGATGGAGAAAATCCGAAAATAACGGTTTGTTAGTATATGATTTTTGGTTTACTTTCGCATATTTGTATAATATCCTGTTGCTTTTACTTGAGAACTTCGTTCAACCTTCTTACTCTTGGTCCAGGTATATCTCGGGATGCTCTGTCGAATGGCGTTTTCTGCTTTCTCTATATCTCAAAAACTAGACACCTAACTGCGTGAGGTGCTGGGACCCGATTTTTGAATTAGGCTTTCCTTTGCTAGAAAATCAAGAATCTCTGGAAAACCCGTAAACATTTTTCGGGTTTTTGAGGATCTTCGATCTCTAGAAAACTAACGAAGATCTAAATCAAAAATTGGATCCCCGCACCTCACGCAGTTAGGTGTCTAGTTTAAAATAAAACCAAACCGAGATCTCCAGCTTGAAGTATATTTCAAAAAAGGATTTCACACTGGACATGCTCGAACAAAAACGAGTTTTGAGAAAAACGCCAAAATAGAACAGCCGTGGGTGTTTTTTAAATAACTTTTGATAGAAAGCAGCCAGAGAGCTCCGATTTTTTCCATGCGAAAGACGAGACTTGTGGACATGTTTCCACAAGCATAATTATTTTCTGAATAGTTTTCTGAAACAGGTGTTCTAGGAGATCTTTGAAAAACCAGGTCGTGTGTAAAAATTTTCGAATAGGATTGTATTAATTTTTTTTCATGGACTGATAGCTTGGAATCTCCTCTTGAAGACGAGAGCCAAACAGCATCTTGATTTTCCGCGGCTTAGGCGCTGTATCGGATTTCCTACGAGGCCCATTACTTTGAGAACGAATGGACTATGGGTAATCCATCATGCTGAGTCTTGCGGCAATATTTGCTTTTAGAAACCGTTCTTAGAAACTATCGAAAGGAGTTTTACGAAAATTGGGGTTTTCAGGCTGTTTTCACTTAATATCTAAAATTCACTGTTTGCTCAAAATACATCAGAACTAGTTCAAAACTTCAGGATATGGTTAATTCTGTCCTCTGAACGGGATTATAAGATCGAAAAATCGAAAAAGCAGATTTTTGTTAATGGGTTTTCCAGAAAACCTTAGAGTACTATAAAATCTCTTTCTAGATATCCTGTGAATAGAATATAGAACAGCCTAAATACTTTACATTCTGAAGTTCTGGACTAGTTCTGATGTATTTTGAGCAAACAGTGAATTTTAGATATTAAGTAAAAACAGCCTGAAAACCCCAATTTTCGTAAAACTCCTTTTTCGATAGTTTCTAAGAACGTTTTCTAAAAGCAAATATTGCCACAAGACTCAGCATGATGGATTACCCATAGTCCATTCGAAAAAATCGGAGCTCTCTGGCTGCTTTCTATCAAAAGTTATTTAAAAAACACCCACGGCTGTTCTATTTTGGCGTTTTTCTCAAAACTCGTTTTTGTTCGAGCATGTCCAGTGTGAAATCCTTTTTTGAAATATACTTCAAGCTGGAGATCTCGGTTTGGTTTTATTTTAAACTAGACACCTAACTGCGTGAGGTGCGGGGATCCAATTTTTGATTTAGATCTTCGTTAGTTTTCTAGAGATCGAAGATCCTCAAAAACCCGAAAAATGTTTACGGGTTTTCCAGAGATTCTTGATTTTCTAGCAAAGGAAAGCCTAATTCAAAAATCGGGTCCCAGCACCTCACGCAGTTAGGTGTCTAGTTTAAAATAAAACCAAACCGAGATCTCTAGCTTGAAGTATAGTTAAAAAAAGGGTTCCACACTAGAGGGTGGTTTTTGACGTTGGACTCTGGAAAACCCCGGAACGGTAAGAGATAGCGAGCTAAAAAGAATTGCATAACCACACTTCGATATGGCGAATATTTGCTGAAAGTTTGATCAAGTTCAGATGTAAGACAAAAAAGATTTTTTCTGAGGGGGGGGTTCTTAAGACATCAACTATTTGTAGTGAGGGTTCGGGATCAAAATGATCGGATAGAGCAGAGAGAAACTTTTATTGATCGGAATTGAAAGAAATTTAGCAAGAAGAGGAGGAGATCAATGAGACTGTTCACGTATTAGATAAATGACTCTAAAGTCTTCCGTCAGGGATGATTAAAATTAATTTATTCGTGTTTAATAATTAAAAGATCTGATCAAACTCTTCACGATGGCCGTCGTACAAATACGAACACTGTACGATCGACTGTTGCAACTATAGCACGAATGAATAATATGCATCATACATTACGCGTTTCGTTTCGTACAGTATTCTACTGTTATGTTCTCTTACTATTAGTCATCAACTAATGAAACTCAAATTTATTTAAGCCAACACCGTCTTTTGTATACAGGATTTGACTTAGATACCTTCGGTATCCACATTTTCAGAACATTCTGGAAGCCATTTGTGAAAAAATCTAAAGAACAGAAATATTCCTCCTTGGAAAGCTCTTAATCCTAAATGTGTGTAAAAAGTGTGTAAGACAATATATAATCTCTGAGGTGTTTAAGAAGATCCTTGAAAAACTTCCGATCGTGGCTGAAATCCAATTTTTTTGACCTATAATCTGTGACTTGTATTGAATATTTTCTGAAAATTCCAGTTTGTTTGGATCAGAAACAGTCACATAATGATTAAGACATGACATTTTCCTTTTAGAAAACTGCAATCTGCAATTTCGGCCT